CGAGGCTGTTGTTTCTTGATCTCATGTTGTTGTCACTGTTGCTGTCGGTATTCGTGCTCAATTTATTCAAACTTACCTTGTCTTTTCGGTAACATCTGACATTGCCTTTTAGTTATTTTGACAGTTAATGGCGATGGCATCAACGCTGTGCGAAGATACGTTACTAATCTTTTAGTTGTGTGAACACATTTCATTCATTCCTTATTCAGTCAAGTTAAGACTAAGCGAGCTGTTTATGTGATCGAGTTGTCGTTGATACCCTGGATAAGTGCTTCTCAAGCTATTCGTGCTTTATTCAAACTTCAACCTTGTCGTTTCACTAACATTTGACACTTTCTTTTTTGTTTCAGTTAGAGTTATTAATTTTTTTGTTTATGACAGTCATTTAAGTCGTGCGTTCAGCAGGCGATTTATTCTGCACATTGCTCAGGCTCAGGTTTTTAAGAAGTTCACTCATGATCAAGACAATGGCAAACTTGGAAATCCAGCGCAGGTTTGCAGTTACGTATAGATCCTCCGAGCATTAAACATACTCATGCTATTGAGCTGTCAATTCTGACAAGCCTCTTAGGGACTTGTTAAATACGGATCCATTTCAACAGGTGTAGTTAAATATTTAATGATATTAGAGCCAAGAACGGTCTTATCTGTCTAACAAGTTTTTAAAACATTCTAAACTATATATTAAGTGAATTGATAATTTTTATATAACATTTGAGTGTTTTTATCGTCTACTTTGTAATTTCATCTTTGTTTTCGATGTACATATAGATATATAGTAAACTAGATGCAAGAGGGGACATGAACTTTTGCTTAATTTTACTGTACGCTTTCAGATGAAGAACTGGGCCACTTGGTGGCGAAATGCTGCAATTAAGTCATTATAGGTGCGGTGTATAATTTTCCCCAATAATCCCCTTGAGGAAATGGGTTCGATTGGGCTCATTCTGTGTTTTGATCGGTTTAATTTCATGTCTGTTTTTTCTAGCTGATTATTTGCCCAAGGGTACTAAGACTGGACTTTGACCCGATTTCGCAATGAACATCCCTGTAAAAATGGAAGACGGACATATATCGTAAAATGTCTTCGGTCATTCTTACCCTTTTACGGGGGTCCCTCACTTTCAATTAGATTATCGTAGTGATATCTAAATACACATCACTTACTTTATATATTGATGGGTGTTGAATGTAATTTCTTTGGCTGCCATTTTAAATTTTGTGGTTAGCCAGCGAGAGGCCTGGAACCAAGGAATATCAGGAGGTGTGGGAATTCACCATTTGCGCATCACCCATAATACACCTTGTTTGCCCCCCCCCCTACCCTCCCCCTCAAAATTTTGCAAACGCATTCTTTACTCGGTGTTTCCAACAAAACATTTTCAGAACTTTCATGGGTTCAATTAATACAGAATCTACCCTGGGCAGGCTTTTTTTTATAACTTGTATGCGGAGTGATGCTTCAGTGTCGGTCGCAGGACACATCGGCTTGCTCATTACCATGAGCCTAGATTGAACTTTAAACCATAGAATAAGATGTGTATTAACTGGCAATTAGTGTTTCCATGGAAGACCATCATATCAACGAAGTGCACTCTCAAAACCAGAGCAAATTTCTTTATGACAAGAATAGGTACTTTCTTGTGCAAGGTCGAGTTTTAGAAAAAACTAAGATTCTTTCCTTTACCGGGGCAAGAGAGCTCTCTTGACCGGAGTAATAATAACCTATAGCTTTCTCTGTTATCCCCTCGTTTCTAGATTATAATTTTATTCTTGTTTTAACTGATAAACAAATCTTAACCGTGGCGCCATGCTGCCAAAGCCTCTTTGCCGTTTTTTGTTACCAGGATCACGATAGCCGTTAGGGTTTTTGCCTTGCACCCATAATACTAGACCCTAATATTAGGGCCGTTTACACAAGATAAAATAAGCTGCGAACATCCCGTATGAATGGTACAAAATCTGCGTTCACGGCTTATTCAACCCATGGCCAGCTCAAGGCGCGGCTTATCCTGGCCGGGGAATTTTGGGCTAGGCTTATCCTTGCCGCGGCTTACCTTGGACGTCAAAGTCTTCGTAAAAATGTACTCAAACGTTGTTTCCAGTTTGCTGATGTTTAGTTGCTGAAGCCGTGAACGATTGCTGCGTATGCTCTGTTTTTAATTATATTCAAAAACCTTCACGGCCGAGAGACGCGCGCTGTAGTGGCGAAAAATGACCTGCTGCACGACAGAGGCGGAAATTTCGTCTAAACTCCACCTTATCCACCGCTGGAACATCTCTTTCAAACCGCTCGTTTGATCGCTGACGAACTTTTCAGCGATGTTTCCGCACAAGTTTCGCAACAGCCGAACACTACTCTTTACCGAAATAATAATTTGAAACGAAAAAGACAGTGTAAAATATGGCGATTTTCCTGACCCAAGCCAGTATCGCTCGAGCCTTTGTTGAAAACTACGAGAGGCACCAAAAAAGCTACGTCGTCATTGGAACGTCGTCTGGCCGCCAACTAAGCTGTGAACCAATACAAGCAGTTCGGGTCTTATTTAAGCGGTGCTCGAATAAATGGTTCCTTTGGCGTATTGATGTAAGCCGCGGCTTATTTTCTCTCGTGCAATCCGCTCTGGCCCTTTTTTAAGCAAATGAAAACGCGTTTTGTTTGATTTGATAACTCATTTCGTTTATTTAGTTCACCTCATTTCCTTTAATTTAGCGCCGTACTGACAAGACTTAGAACTGAATATAGAATAGTTACGTACAAAAGATACACTTAAAAGTCATTATCTAATACAATACTCAATGAGCATCAATTAAGTAATATACTACATAGAGAAATATCAACCAATTATTGACGACTAAGCTTGGCTGTAACCAAAAAGGAAGTGAAAACGCGGTTTGTCTATATTTAATAATTCATTTCGTTTATTTAATTCATTTCATCTTACATGAAGGTCTAAATAGGGGTACCTCGATAACACTAAACACATCATTTTTTGGCTTTGTAACCTGAAACAGTTAAATTTTTGGCATTTTAACAATAACAGTAAAAAATTCTTTGAAACAATAAATTTTTTCCAGAAAGAAGCAAAAACGGCTCCAAAAAGGCCAATATTATTTTATTAGTATCTCAAGGAGTTTTCGGTCATTTTACGACAATTCTGGATTATTTCAGAAGATTTCCTAAGACTAAAATAGAGGTCCGACCATTGGCTAAGATGTCCGACAAACCAACCAAACACTTCACAGTATTTTCTTCGGAAACAGTAAACATTAAAAAATTGCAGACCCTTTTTAATTCAGTCAGGAAATTAATGACTTTCTACTACACTTAGGTGTAACCAAAACGAAAACCACAAGTACTCTTTCTTTGCGATCGAATAGAGTAAATTACTCAGTAAGGTTACGGTGTTATCCAAATGAACTCAGTCAGCGGTCACGTGCACTGTGATGAGGACCGAGCCGCGATCAGTTTGTCACTTAACCAACCACGTCATCAATTTTAAGGAGGTGAAAAACTAAAGATGATAAACTATGTGACATACTTTTTCATTTCACTAAGTCAGAGAATTTGCGAGAAAACTTGGTCATGAACGAAGATGTCCTTTCACCAATACTGCCTTAACTGACGAGATCAACAAAGTAACTTTCATATTATTCCTTGTAATATATCATACGTCCTATATAACTTTAGAACTCTTTTACGGCAGTACCACCTTCTATCAAATTGATACTTTTTGCATTTACCATCTAAGTTATACACTAAGTCCTACTATGGCTCTTGACACTAAGAATAGCGATATATCATATGGCATGTTATATGTATATTAACCAATAGAGATCGACGCAGTGTACCATTTATTTCAACAAGTGGTAAAACAAAGGTCAATGGAGAAACCTTGTCCACTTTTATTTCTGCCCTGCCGCATTTTTGTGTTTTTTTTTGTCAATTAGATAGCGTTTATCATTATATTAATAAATATATTATTATTATTGTTGCTATTAACTGCTCTAAAAGTTTTTACATTTCTTTCAATTCAGAGTCGCTATATACATAATTATCAGCAATTGTTTTATGGGAGATAAAATGGTGAAAACAGGGGGATTTATTCTATCACAGTCCGAATGACATACATTAGAGCGATTTTCGTATGACCTTGAAAACTGGTTTCGGTAAGTGTTCGTTATTTGTTTTATCAGCCAATGGATGAAAAGATCAAAACATGTACTCTTCATTTTCCCGCCAAAGAAAACCCAAATATGGAGAAGGCATTGTTCGATTGGTCAATTGTGTCGCAGTATGAAGTCAAAGCTAAGTATCGATTGATTTCTAGAAAGTTCTTGGGCATGAAGTTTTTTCATCCGAGCGTTTGCTTAACCAACCAAAAGCTACGCGCATTTGTATCCGTTCGACAAACCAGTCAAATCACTCTATTTTCGTTCGTTTGTTGTTTCTGTCGTGTTCGCGCGTTTTCATTTCAAGGTCATTGGAAAATCGCTCTAACATATAGGGTAAGCAAAGCGCGGGTAGTTTTTGGTGTTACTACCCAGACACTAGAGAACTTTAGATTCCAAGACGAAGACGAAGACGACTACGGGAACGAGATTTTATTCTCAATATTAGTCGTGCGCGTGCGTGAACAAGCGTCATTTTGGCGGGAAGACTAACGGTTTCATCGAGAATATCGTAGTGGCGGAAACAAGTTGCAAATGTTATGTATTTTTTGTGCGCGCGATCGGGAGAAGGCTTAACCTCCTTCAATAAAAACAACCATGCTATCTTTTCTGGTGAAGAAAAGTACAACGAAGAAGCATTCCAAGGTGTCTTTTTTTAGTATACGCAAAAAAAATTACCTTAAAGTTAGATCTCGCTTCGTCTTCGAATCTTGAGGTCTCCGATATTGCTCAACATGTACCAAGCCGAACAGCCCCTCAAATTTTAAATGAGCCGCAAAACCGGAAACAGCTCAAAGTAGCAGCCCAACATCCGCTGTTACACAGAGCTACACTTGGATTGCATCATCAAGGGCGTTATCCTTGGTTTCTTTTGTGTTATTGTTCAGGGACGTCTTAGTAAGATTATTTAATGTCGAACGAGCATCCCTGATACTCACCAAAGAAAGCGCTAAGTTTGCTTGTCCAGATTTGCCCCTTGTTGGGCCTTGTGGTAATGCATAAGCATTCGTTTTACGAGAGGCGGCTGTTACAAACCTCAAAATATTTGACTTAGTATCACTGGAATTGTTTTTTGAAGAGCCAAATTGACAGAAATTGTTCAGGGTTGCAAAAAACGCCTTGCGAAAGTTTTCATTCAGGAGAATATAAAGACATGGATTTAAAGCACTGTTTGCATGTGCTAACCTGTTGAATAGCAGCTTAACCTTCAGCGGTAACTTGTGACTTTGATCAGGTCGTACGTACCAGAAGTAATTATTCACATAGACTGGAAACCAGCATACTGCAAATACCACGCATGTGATGACCAGCAGACGTGTTACCTTGCGTTTTAACCTTTTTTCAGCAGCAAGGTTGGTATCTGTCACATTTCCTGGAATCTTACGCAACCACAATTTTCGGCAAATTAAGGAGTAAATGATTATTGTTATGGAGAGAGGTAACGCGTATACTATGACAAAAACGCTGATGTGGAAGCTCTTAAGCACTTTATATGTTTCGGTGAGGTCTGTGTCGTTTGATGGTGCCCATGGCCACTCCTGTAAACAATAGTATACGCCTGGTCGTATCTCATGTGTTTGAGACATTAAAACATAAGGGGTCATTAACCCAAAAGATAAAATCCATATAATTGCTGACAAGACTTTTGGCTTTTGGAAGAATTTCTCTTTCAAGGGAAAAAATACGGCGTAGAATCTGTCAAACGAAATCAGCATCATTGTGAAAACAGACGCGGAAATAAAAACTGGCATGACATAAAACAACGCTTTGCAAGTAATGCTACCCAACGTTCCTCCGATCCAAAGACTTCCACGGTACAAAAAGGCGACCGAAAATGGCATAATCGTGGTTGTTAGGAGCAGATCTGCAACGGCCATGTTGCTAATGAACAGGTTCGTCACGCTGGTAGATGAAAATTTCTTTAACACCACGTAGAGACCGACCGAGTTACCAAACAGAGCTACAAAGAAAATCACCACATATGCTGACGTTAGGCCAATCTTGAGGTCTAGTGGGATAATGACTGCATCTGATCTGCTTGGTTGTGGGAGTAGGGTTACGTTCGAGGAGTGAGTGATGTTTTTTTCTAAAGAAGAACCAAAAAACTGTTAAGTTAATAGCAAATGAATGTAAATCAAATCAAAATTCGGAGCTTCAGTTTAAACGATTGAAAAAACCGGCAATACAGAGCTACTAAACTTTAGCTTGCTGGTACATCACGTTATTCAATACAGTGGAACACCGCGTTGCATGCGGCCGCCTCGTTAATACCGCCAATTTTTTTGGCCCATTGGTGACCGTATTAACGGGGTTCCACTGAAGCAAGAAAATTAGGAATTGGGCCGTGAGACGGAAGACCGTTAACTTTAAAGTCGGGTACTCTAACCACTAAGTCACGTTCACTCTCTGGCATTCAGGCTAACTGATACTCGAGTAACAGTACAAAAAATTAGTTTTTGAACTTTCAAAACAGCCCAGTTCAGGCTGAACGTCTCATCAGAATATAACTGATGATTTCTTGCCTTTAGGATCCTTTAGATCGTCACGATCTCTTTTGCTCGGATTTCTGCCCTCGTTCCTTGCGGCTTTGCCGCTCTCCCTTACGCGAGCTCTCGATCTACTGTAAGTGATTTAAAAGAAAAATAAGAGACTGTTGGCGGATAAAACCTATAGCAGATAGTGTTAAATAATAAAACTGGACCATTATTTTTGAAATTAAGTTGATGCAAACACACGTTTTTTCCGCTTTTTATAGTTTAAGAAGATAAAAAATAGCGTGACAGCCACATTAAGCTAAAATACTTTCTTCTTCCTGTAGCTGATTTTGCTTACCATTAAATCCTGTTGAGTTGTTCATTTTGGATTCCCTGAGATTTAAAGCTTCCACTATGACAAGATAATGGTAGTCGAAACCTTAAAAGAAAAAGAAATGAACTTCAAAGAATGAATCCATGCTCGCTCCCTCCTCCCCCACGCACCATTTCTGAAAACAAACATAAAAGACCTTCAGAGAGCTTTAAAAACTTGCAAAAGCTTCAACTTGAGATGACAAGCTCAAACTTGAGAACCATCGGCATAGACCGTGGCTTTTAAAATTCAGCACAAGGGACGTATCCCCCTCCTAGGCCTTTCCCGATTGAGCTCGTAAAATGCTGGAAAGTTGCTAAATGGAATGCCAAAAAGTTGCTAAAAAATGGCCAAAAATCCAAAAAGTTGCTACCTAAATTTCAAACGTTGCCACCTAAATTTCTTGATATTTTTATTTAAAAGTTAATCAAAAGCTTTATTTTTCGTTTTTCACAATAATTACTAACATCGGTTACGAAAAATAGCTGGAAACTTAGCCATTTTCAATTGAAAAAACAAAAGAAATTAAAAAAAAAATTAAAACAAAACTGATAAACATTCAAGAAGTTCGCATGAATTGAAGTTTTCTATGCAGTCGTTGACTTTTTCGTGCTTGATATATGCTCTAAACCTAAATTTTGCTCAAAAGTTGCTCAGAACGGCAAGTTGGCTCGAGGTTGGTAGAACCGCAAAAAGTTGCTCAAAAGTTGCCGAGCACAATCGGCAAAGCCTAGGAAATTCCCCTCCTCCTTAACCATTTAAGCCCCAAGATCAACCTACAAATTCTCCACAAAGGCCTTCATACATTTCTTGAAAAACTGCTTGAGAGAATTTGTCAAAGATCAAAGCATATTTCCTTCAGTGATCATTTTATTAATTCTCATAACCTTTCTACTTGACTGACCATAACTGATATTGTTAAGAGAAAATTGATGTTGGTTACTCGTGGGACTTAAAGGGTCAACAGGGCCGGCTAAATAGGCCCGTTTACCACCTTATTCTCACTTAGTTTCGCGAGTATTAAATTGCGAAACTCTCGAAATTTAATACTCGCGAAATTAAGTGAGAATGAGTTACGAGTGGGTGGAGGCGGCCATTTTAGAAAGCTCAGAGGATTCTCAAACCGATTCCCTTGATTCATCTTAGCTTTTTACACGTTGTGAAAGTGAACTCCCCCAAGCGATTGATGTGGAGACTACGAATATTCTAGCTACAAACAGTGCCAAAGTTTACTACGTAAGTCTACAGACTAGTGTTTTCAAGATTGCTGTTCACTATTTACGGCTGCTACATTCAATTTCAATTCATTGCTTTGGTCTACTTTCATGAGTAACGCGTCCTTTTCTGAAAGTGTCCGCACAAAACCAATCAACACATCTGACATCTCAGTATTCGCTGGCTCGATGGTTTTACTGTTACCGAAACTCGAAAATAAGCCCCTCCATGTATAAACCCTCCAAATATAAGCCCCTCAAACTCGTAAGGCAAAAACCCTTCGTTAAATCGCCCCTCTACTGAAATATAGCCCCCCTGGGGGCTTGTACTTGAAAATTGCCCTCAAATACAAAATAAAACAAAGCAAAAACGGGAAATTTCCTTCCAACTATATGGGTAGCCCAATCGATTTTGAAACGCAAATTTTCCTCCGTCGGTAGATAACCCCTTCCGAATATAAGCCTCTCCAGAAATAAACCCCTCGATAAGGACGTGTTATCAAATATATCACGTAATTACAGCCGCAATTTCCTCAGTGCGCTAATATAATAGTCCCATTATGGCTCTTGACTTAAAACGAAATACCTGACAAATGATTTTCGGAATTCGTTTCGTCTCTGTTTCAGCTCTATTGAAGCTGGTTGAAAAAGTCAACAAATACAAAACTCTGAACAGGATGTCTAAACTATAACAGGCGAGCATAATATATACATTCTACCTAGCAGGTGTTACATCTAATTTTAGATTATTGGTTATGAACAATTTAAGTTAAATTCGCTTTCGCGTGTTATTAAATGTTTCATCTTGTCTTAAGAAGAGGGAGATATATCAAGTAATTACTGCTGCAATTTTCCTTGACCGCAGCACGACACTAGCATGACTTGGTTTCAGACGTCGAATTTAATTCGGTCGAATAGAACGGCTGTTGTTGTTATTATATGGCTGAGTCCGTTTTCGCCATGCGATTGGTCAATTTGCGGTCCGTAACTTGCTATACGGACCAAAATTTTTCAAAGAAAATGCTCATTTCGGAGGTCTAAATCTCTTTACCTCGGAAAAAATGTTTAAGTAAAGTTATAAGACTACTGTCAACCTTGAGGACTTAGATGTTGACTTTGGCCCTCAACATTTTAAACTGTGTTTATTAGTGAACGAAGGCGATGAAGAAACTAACTCGTAATCTTATCGAAGAGGATTCTAGTCAGTGTTTGAAAATTTCATCGTAGTACACAGTTAGGAAGACCAAAATCGACTGGCAGAGATTCGAGACGTTTTGCCTAAGAGAAAATGAGTAATTCCTTCAACAAATATGACAACAAACATACCTGCACCCGATCATCTTGACAAGCTTCTTTGCCATTCGCAGTGTTTTTTCAAAGACCAAGGAAAGAAAGATAGAAGCGAGTTCGAGCCAGACACAGTAATGTCCAGTTTTCAAAAGACTCTAGCGTCACATTAACGAGTGAATACTTACAGTGCTCTTAGTTTCCACCGAATAAACTTTGAAATATGTATGTAAACCCTGAGGACTGGGATGTTGACTTTGCCTTTCCAAATTTTAACCAAGCTTTGTTTTAATGAGAACGAAGCTGTTGTAGAAACTGAATCGTAACCTTACCGAGGAAGAGAATTCTATCCAGTGTTTGAAAATTTTAATGCAGATCACAATTGAAGACGAGAATGAGCTGGCAGAAAGAGAGGTTTTCCCAAAACAATTAACGAGCGAATCCTTCGACAATGACAACAAACTTACCTTGAAAAGCTTCTTTGCCATTTGCAGTGTTTTTCACAAGAACAAACGGAGGAAAGATGGAAACGACTTCTAGACAAACACAGTGTCTGGTTTCCAAAATACTCCAGCGTTATATTAAAGAGCTAAAACTTACAGTGCTCTTAGTTTTGACCGAATAAACTTTAATAAACATGGCGAATTTGTTTTTACTTTCTCGGAAAGCTATGTGCTAATTGTTTTCGTGCGCCAGTAAAAACTTTGTTTTTTGACACCTATCAAATGACTGTCAAATCGTGCGTCCTGCGCTTGTTTCTGGTCCCCCAAACAGAAAGAAGCCATATAATAAACATCTTATTAGCCTCGTTTTTTCGGTCCGTGCTGTAAATTAGGGATTCTCGTTTTTTTCCATCGATTTATAATTCTGGCCCGCGCGCTTCGCGCTTGGGCCATAAATCGATGGAAAAAAACTCGGTCTATTTACAGTACTCGGCTAAAACTAATAAGAGGTATGTATTCATAATTTCTGAATTGAGTTCGGCACGGCATGCAGTAGCGCGACGTTTGAAACCAAGTCGTAATGAACATCCCTGTAAACATGGAAGACGGACATATATCAGTAAAATGTCTTCGGTCATTCTTACCCTTTTACAGGGGTCTCTCACTTTCAATTTGATTATCGTAGTGATATCTAAATACACATCACTTACTTTATATATTGATGGGTGTGGAATGTAATTTCTTTGGCTGCCATTTGAAATTTTGTGGTTAGCTAGCGAGAGGCCTAGAACCAAGGAATATTGGGAGGTGTGGGAATTCACCATTATAATTGCGCATCACCCAGCCTCGTTCCCAGTCGTCCTCGGCGATTTCGGATGTGACGTCACGGCTGACGTCACCTGCCAAGCTTGTCGGGAATTCCAAGCCTCCTCTGGTCACTCGGATAGCGCGAACAGGCCTGGGTACGAGGCTGCACATCACCCATAATACCGACCTTGTTTGCCTCCCCTCCCTCTCAAAATTTTGCAAACGCATTCCTTACTCCGTGTTTTCAACAAAACATTTTCAGAACTTTCATGGGTTCAATTAATACAGAACCTACCTTGGGCAGCCTGTTTTTTTTCTTATAACTTGTATGCGGAGTGATGCTTCAGTGTCGGTCGCAGGACACATCGGCTTGCTCATCACCAGGAGCCTTCTAGATTGAACATTAAACCATGATAGAATAAGATGTGTATTAACTGGCAAAGTGTTTCCATGGAAGACCATCATATCAACGAAGTGCACTCTTAAAAC